TAGACAATGATTATCTGAAACTGTTTTTAGATGAAGAAGAAATGACACTACTATTTATGAGAAACAATGATACAGAAAACTATGCTATGGAACCTAAAACATTTAGAGAATGTTTATTAATTATACTATAATATCAATTTGCATAAATGAGAACATTTTAAAAGAGACAGAGCACTGCAGGCTAGCCCTATCAGGTTTTTCTTTTTTCAAATTATTATAACATCCAGGATAAACTGGAAGGTATTACAAATGATATACTATAATATTCTAAAAATAGAAGTAGAAATGTAGGAATCAAATGGTAAATAATTTGTATATTTTTTGCTCTCATTATTATTATCAATTCAATTTGTCTAATAATTGAGCTTCATCAATATTATAAATTATATGATAGATTTTTATAGTTATTAAATTTTTTGGATAAATAAAAAGTACAATTGGAAATTGACAAACTTAATTAATTGTAGAAATTAATTACTACAAATTAAGAATGCATATACTCATATTAGTTTGATCTTTAACGCCAAGAATAAATGATGAATAATTATGTGGCTTTAAACAAAATCTCAAATGCAAAGAAGAATGTCGAAACCGATGCATCAGTTAAAATTGCAAGAAGAAATATCTTGGTGTTTTTGACATTTGTAGCTTGCATATTTCAAGTTTACATAATAGTTGTTTAAATAAAAACAAATGAATATATAAGTAAGTATGATGACACAGCAGATTTTTACTTTATGATATAGAATTTAAAATTTAGAAGCGGATCAATGTATATGTATAGAGAACATTTGTTAAGATGGAAAAATTTTACTTATCTAACAGCTTACGATTTAGATAGAGCATATTAATTAATTGCTAAAGCGTAAACTAACATTTAACAATATTTAGATTTTACAAGTTCCTTTTAAGCAAATAAATATTTATTATCAGACTCATTTATTTCTTTTTTTGAATATCAGTAAACTCATGATTTATGCGAATTTATAGATTAAGTAATTTGTATTTTATTATTTATAGATTTATCTCAATTTTATGTCTTTGTATTGTGAAAAATCATTTGATGGCCTTTTAAAAACAGGTTCAATATCAGTTCTTAATTTTATGTCCAGTTAAATTAAAAGTCAACAAGCTGTTAATAATTTTACCAAAAGGGCTGAAGTAAATCTTTATGAGATGGAAGGGTCTCAAATAGTGATGAGATCTTTTTTTAGAGTTTCCGACGAATTTTAGGTAGGGATGAAATAAATTACTACTGAATAAAACGAATTCACTCTCATTATAACGGTAATATTTATTTGCTATCTGATTATTTTCTTAATAGTGGTTTTATTTATACTAAAGAATCTATTAGTAAAGGAATATGCTATGTTGAGAAGGATTGTATATTTAATGCCACAATAGATTGTATTAGGAGATGAAACTTTCGAGAGATTTCTAAAATTGTTAGCATTAAATTAAGAATTAAAATGATTCAAATTAATAAATGTGTATTTCTATGTTTTCAATCAATAATTGTTTAATTGCAATTATTATAGTTCTTCAATTCTAGAAAATTTATTACATTTAGTAGACTCATAAAGCATATTCAATGCAATAGTTTTGACAGTAAAGCTTAGAAATTCAGCTTTAATATAAAACCGAAATTTGTTAAAATATTCTTCCAGGTTTTCTTCCAATATTAAAAATATGATCAAAAAATTATAATTACTCTATTGCTTATAAGATAAATAATAATTATTCTAAACTTGATTTATTCCCAATGATATTATGGGAATAATTAAAAAACATAACTAGCCTTATTGAATTTAGTATGTAAAAATTGTATAATTATAAAAATTCTTGATTTTGTAATTTTGGCAATGATGGTGTATTGTTTGAAAGATGAAACAGTCCAGGTACTAATTATGGCGATTTAGTTTTGAGAAATTTTATACAAACAATTTTTGTATCTGATTTATTATTAGTATAATAAAATTAAAAGGTAAGAACAACAGTAGCTCAATACTCCAAACTCACTAACCCAGAAATTACTGATGGGCTGAAGAAATAGTCAGATTCATTGAGAATATAAAGCATTTACAGTCTTCAGCATCTCAGCCATTTCTAAAATGGCAGACATACAAAAAAAAGTATGAAAATGAACATCAGTTAATTAGATACTATGCAAAAGGACGCAAAGAAAGAGGAAAAACTATATATCATTTTTATTTACTTCTCTAGTTTACCAAAATCAAATACATATGAATGAATTAATGGAACATTTGTGAAGATATGGGATAAATGAAACCGCAATAAATATATTTATTTTCAAACCTCACTTTTTTTCTTTGATATTAATTCTCCTGCTTAGTCTTTGAAAAGATTCACCATTGATTCTCGTTTATTCTTTTTATCTAATTTTTTACTTATGTTTTATCAACTCGATTTGTACCTATGTTTGTCGATTATATGTTTAAGCTCATCCTCTCTTTATGAATTAGACACTATCTAAGAGGCAGTAAGAATACATCCCTCAATTATTTGACATACCCTTATCATCTCTATCTTTTAAAATTATTTTCAAGTAATCAGCATAAATGTAGTATTTAACAAAAATAGCCAACTCATTATTATTTTATCAGCTTTGGATATAAACAATCAGTGTATTTATCAAATTTTAAGGGCGACACTATGCTTCCTTATGGGAATCAGTTTTTATAATCTTCTAAAATTTATATTTTGTTCATAAGTTAAAGAGGAGGTCTATATTAGCAGTGATTTTAGCAGATTTGAATCTATAAATAGTATTAACCTTTTATCACTCGTTTGAATTTCCATATAACTTAAATGAGCTTTAAAAACTGAACTTGAAATCCGAAGCCTTTAATGAAGAAAACTTACATAATTATGTGCCTTTCTCAGTAGTTTTGAAGTGATCTTTCAAAACAAGGTTCCTTCCATGCATATAATGGATTCAGTATAGTTATAGGTTTGAATTCACCAACCTGTAGAATTTTAGGGTAATGGTTATTAAGTGGGATATTTTAAAATTCTCCAAAATCTTATACGATCTTAATTATTATCAATTGACTTTAGAATATCTGAAGCGTCTTTATTTTTTTAACAATATCTAAGAATTTATTAACACATTGATATTTTCGACTTATATTTATTGTGCCAATTGGTTGGATATATTAATGCTCCAAAAATTAGTTGTATTTTATTCATTCCATGCATTTAATATTCTTAGTTCGCAAATTAAAAATCAATATCAATAATATAATAGTAGTTGTGGAATAAATTTTTGGAAAAAAATCAATATTTGAGTACAATAGAAATCCTGGGATTAAAATTTAGCAAATATAAATGAAATTAAAAGCTTTAAATGTTGAATATTTACAATATTCTTTAAGGCAATATTAAGAAAATAAATCAAATAATATAAGCCTTAAAGAAGAATAAACTTATGTTTTTTGGATTCTTTAGAATAAATTTGTTTTAATTTTTATTGATTATATAATTTCTCTTTTTATCTCTCAAATAATTATTTAATTTTAATTAGAAACTATAAGCATATACGCAAAAATATAACTAGCCTATTATTTAAAATATCTTCATTTTAGTTTTTCATGAATGAAATTGATTGAAGAACACTTACTTTAGAGAGCTTATATAGTATTAGTAAATTATAAACAAATTATTTGGTTTTTATAACTGAAAAAAAAACGCATCCTTTTAGACAGATTAACAAAATATTATGAAAAATTATTTCTTTCCATTATGAAATTTAGTAAGGAGTCACTTTGAAAATATCAACTTTATATTATTTTTTAAAAATTCATCCATTAGTTCTACAATTAATAATAAACCTTATCAGATAATATGGTCTATATAATAAACCAATAGTATATCTACTAAAGTTATATAATTTTGCAATTATTATATCATGAAATTTTAGAATGAATGATATTAGTAGTATCATCTGCTGAATTATATTTTCTTTTGAGCAAATTAAAATTATTTCTTATTTTTTATATATAGTGTTTTATCAATAAATATTGGTTTATTACTAAATTCAATATCAACTTATCAATATATTTTTTATCAATAATCAAATCATAATGAAAAAAGGCTTAAAAAAATCAAGCAAGAAATATATCGGTCTTACAGATATATTAAACAAAATCATATCGATTACATTGCACTCTAAAAAAAGCATGACATTGCATTCTACATTCTAATTAATCCTCCTATTTATTTGTAAGTTTTAATTGATATTCTTTTTATTTTACCTTGATTACAATTGGACGGAAGAAAAAAATTTATTTTTTTTTAACAAGGTTTTACTTGTAATATTTAGGATTGACTTATTTTTGTAAACTTTTGAAGGTGTTAATACGTTTGTTGTTTATTTGATTTTAGGCATTCTTATTATAGAAAAATTAGTATATGCATTATTAATATTGGAGGAGAAGAGAGAAACGAGATTTATGTATTTAAATAGAATGCTTGGGATTTATATCTAATTACATTATACTTTATTTCATATCTTATTGACAACATTATGTTGTTTATTTTTAAGTTATTAATTTTATTAAGTGTAAGTAAACGAACGTAATTATATTCATTTGTTATTTGGAGTTTTTTGTTTTGTTATATTATAATTGGAAGCAATTTATCATTTATAAATAAGTGAATAATCAATAGATGGTAAGATTAAATGTTTTGATAGATTAAGAGTAACAGTTAAAGAATACATAATTTAATTTTTAAACTTAAATATTGTTATTTTATTTTCAGTTGTAAAACAATCTTCGATTTTTTATTGGATTATTCACATACTTGTTTTATTAACCTCTTTATTGAATACAATTAATTTATTAGAAAATCAAATAATCATAGAAAAATCTAAAAAATTTGTTATTTACTTTTCAGATTCCTTTAATATACTCTATGTATTTTATTCGCTTCTCTAATTGATTCTTTAAAGGAAATAATTTCAAGTATTTATCTATACTATGTTCTCCTTTCCTTTATTACTTTAAATACTACTGAGAATTGATAATAGGATTAATAAGAAATTGGAAAATTTAGCTTTTTCAAAATAAATAACTGATCTGTTTGCCATAACTCAATTTTTAGTAAAAAAGCAAAATAACTATTTTCAACCTTTAATATATAAGCTTTACATTTATAATTATCATTAAAAAAGGTGTAGAAATTCAAAATGCATTTGTAATCTATAAATCAATTACATAGATTCAAGGGATGCCGTTGCCCTTACTTATGAAATTGATAAAGATTTTGTTCACTAAAAATTAAAACAGGTAAGAAGATGTATTTTTAATTAAAATTCTGCAATTAGTTAAATCTAATATTATACAATTTTGTATGGTGCCTTATTAGCCCACAATGGATGGCCAATTTAATCAATAAAGCACCTTAACTAAATGGTGTACGGAAAATTGACTTCAAAAGTTTCTAATAAAAGCCTTAATTAGAGCCTCTAAAATCTCTATTCTTTTTCTGCAACTTCAAAAAATGATTTATAGTCATAGACTCAAATAGATCCTGAAAATTAACTTGAAAATAAATAAAGGAACAAAAGAGCAAATTCACAACAGTTAGCAATTACATATTAGATTAAATTGGAATTCTTTTAAATATCAAAAATAATTTATCTTTCAAATGAAATTAAATAAAACTTGAGATATATGTTTGGAACTTCATAATTAACTCCAGAAATGCACGATCTATCTGAAAAAATACAACATTTTATGTAACAAGAAATGAAGTTGGATGAACATATAAAAGAAATATAGAAAATAGTAAAAATAAAACTAAAATATTTCGAAAATATACTTCTATAGCTAAAAGAAATGAGAATCTCTGATCTTATGAAAACATTGATGAATCTAACCTGCAGAATGATTTTATTAAAAAAAGTATTATAATCCTAATATGAAATTACGAAAAGCAAAAGATTAAAATCCTTGTAAATTTTTTATGAAGCTGAAGTTTTTAAAAATTATTTAGAGGCATATAAAATGCATAATTAGTCTACTCTATCAGAGGACTAAATAAAAATTAAGAGTAAAGATTTTAAAATCAATTTTCATTAAAATGATATGAGTTATATTATAATTTAAATAGATGATGACCTTTAAACTGCAGAATTAATAAAATATTCATCAAGTTTGCTCTAAATGATTGAATTTCATTCAAATGAGCAATTAAATTTTGAAAAATTATTATTACCCTTCATTCTAAGGGAGCATCCTCTCTTTATTTCAAGGTTTTTTAAAATAGGATCTTCAAAGTATTTTAAGCGATTTAATTAATCATTTATTAGAACAGGAAAGAATATGGCGAAAGCTATAGAATTTAGTTTCGATAATGTCATTTAGTCCAACTAAGATAAAATAACCCTAATTGGACTATTGTAAGAAATTGTAATTGAATAAGCTTTCATATTAGTAGATGTAAATTAAGTAGTAGGGGGAATTACAAATATATTTTTCTCTCTTTTGGGATATAATTCTGAAATAATTGATAGGATTAATGACTTTTCAATATTTTATTAGCTAAAGATATCTTAAATCTTTCCAGATTTTTATGATTTTATTTAAAATGAAGATTAAGAACCAATAATTAAATTTAATAATGTTGATACTTATTTTATAGACTTAGAAGTCTTACTTAATGAATTTGAGAATGAAAACTGCACAACTTTGTAGTAGTAATGTGTTGTTTTAAATAGACTTTTGGGAAAACAAATTTATACGAAGTACTTCCAATCCAGCATTACAATATAAGCTTATCAAATTTACGGATATTATTATTACATTATATAAGTAGAATAATTAAATTAGAGATTAGAACACATGGACAGTTGCAAGACATAGGAAAGATTTATTGAAGACAGGAAGAAAACTGAAATAGTACCAAATTTATAAATAAGCCACATAAATGTGTCTTTAGATGAAGCCTAACCACAAATGATTAATCTAATTTCAGTTGGAAGTAGAGATGGATATATAGAAAAAAATTAAACTAATAATAATATTGATATGGATGGAGTTCAGGAAAGTTAAAAAGCGTCTGTAGACTAAAAATTAGAATAATTTGGAATGATCCTCTCACCAAATAAAAGCTCCAGTGAATTGATTGATCATTAAAAGGATAAATTACTTTAATAAACTTCACAATAAAACTATTACACCGTTCACACAAATTTAATATAAAATCAATTGAGTTTAAGCAATGAGGTTAATGAATGCAGCCAAAAAGAGAATCAAATAATTGGTTAACAATTTAATTAGGTTTCAAAAGGTGCTGAATTTGGAATAGGCAATAGTGAGGTAATCAAGAAGTATGAATTATTGGGTAGACTAACAAAGGACAAAACACCTTAAATTTTAAAATTATCTATTAGCACAATTGTAATCTTTATCATAATATAAACTATCAGTCTCTCATTAGTCATCTCTATTCTTAGTGATGATATTCTTAAATTTATTTCAGATATTGAAATTATCGCTTTGCAGGCAAGTATTTAAGGACCTCATGACTTATTTTTTTCGATGAGAAACACTATTTCTGCATATCAATAAATGGGGAGAGAGGGTTTTATTCCAAATTCTATAGTGCCAAACTTAACAGCACCTTATGAAAAAAACTTAGGATATGGATATTATGAACTAAGAGACAGTTTGTATGAATAGCTAGGTAATGAATATTTGAGGGGATTTCTAGATGGAGAAAGTATGGAATTATTATTTATGAAAAATAATGACACATAAAATTATGCTTTAGAAATAAAAACTTTTAGAGAATGTTTGTTCATCATTTTATAATATCAATATGCATAAATGAGAGTTTTGTAGAATAAATTAAGTTCCTCTGGCCAACCTTTTCAAGTATTTTTATTTTCAAATTACTATAACATACAGGATAAACTAGAAAACATAACAAACGATATATTATAATTTTCTAAGACTAGAAGCAGAGAAGTTGGGAAAAAGTGGAGTTCTATCACTATTTGTTTTTCTATTCTAACATTGATGATAGCCTTTACGATTTTGTTTTAGTTTCATCAATATTATAAATTATATGATAGGTTTTTACAGTTATTAAATTTTTTGGATAAATAAAAAGTACAATTTGAAATTGATAATCTTTATCAATTATAAAAATTAATAACGACAAATCAAGAATGTACGTGCTAATATTAGTTTGATCTTCAACGATAAGAATAGCTGATGAACAATTATGAGGCTTTAAATAAAATGACAAATGCCAAAAAAAATGTTGAAAGCAACTCAAAAATTAAAACTTCAAGAACAAGTTTTATAATTATTTGGATATTTGTAGCTTGCATCTTTTAGGTTTATATAATTGCTATTTTAATAAAAACAAATGCATACATAAGTAAGTATGAAGACACAGCAGATTTTTACTTTATGATATAAAATTTAAAATTTAGAAGCGGATCATTATATATGTATAGAGAACATCTTTTCAGATTTAAAAATTTCACTTATTTAACGGCTTACGATTTAGATAGAGCATACTTATTAATTACGAAGGCATAAAATAATATTTAATAATATTTAGATTTTACAAGTTCCTTTTAAGCAAATAAATATTTATTATCAGACTCATTTATTTCTTTTTTTTAATATTAGTAAACTCATGATTTATGCGAATTTGTTGATTAAGTAATTTTTATTCTATTATTTATAGATTTATCTCAATTTTATGTCATTGTATTGTGAAAAATCATTTGATGGCCTTTTAAAAACAGGTTCAATATCAGTTCTTAATTTTATGTCCAGTCAAATTAAAAGTCAACAAGCTGTTAATAATTTTACCAAAAGAGTTGAAGTTAATCTGTATGAATTAGAAGGGTCCTAAATAGTGATCAGATCATTTTTTCGGATTTCAGATGAATTTTAGGTAGGATTGAAGTAAATAACAAATGAATAAAACTAATTTGCTCTGATTATAACGGTAATATTTATTTGCTACTTGATTATTTTCTTATATATTGTATTACTTGTAACTTTAAAACTGTTAATAAAATAATATGCTTAGTTAAGGAATATTTTATACTTGATGCCTTAATAGATTATATTAGGAGATGAATCATTCGAGAGGTTTCTAAAATAGTTAGCATTGACCTAAGAATTACAATGATATATTATTACATATTATTTAATATAATACCACTTAATAATAATATTTTTTATAAAATTGCTGTGTAATTATTTAATATTCATTATTTTAATAATTAAGATATTACTTTTATTACTTGCTATTGAAGCAAAAAATAATTGCTTGTTTTAAAAGCAAACCAAAGTTAATTCTCAAATAAATTTTGTATATTTATCAATAGTTTAGATTGTTTGTATAACACATTAATAAAATTTGAAAAAAAGATCTTAAATTCTAAATTATTTGAATAATGGAAAATATGAAACAATTAGATCACAATTATACAAAAATGATTTGACAATCGAAAATACTATTAAATGCTTGCTTAAATTCTTCGTAAACTCATAAAATTGAATGCATAAACTTAAATAATTTAAAAAACATAAAACTCTATGAAATTGTATCTCTTAACTAATCCTAAATTATGAGATCAAAAATAGTTCTTATTGAAAATCTGTTCATAATCAATTTAATGTATTTAAGCCATTTTTGCTTAGTAACTTGCGGAATAGATTTTTTCTAATTTATTATTTAATTGTGCAGCCTCTAGTCCTTTTTCTTGAGAAATACCTTGAATTTTCTGAATGTCTAGAGTGATTGAATTATTTATTTATAATTTTTATTATAATATGGATAGCATTCGAGAAAGACTGTTACAATTAGACTAGCAAGCCTAACAATTCTAACAATAAAATAAATATTTAGAAGCTTTAAATGTTTTTGAGGAGATGCTGATGATAAAAAAGTCTGCTTATGGTGAGGATTCAGAAGAATATTTCAAAACTAGTGATAAATTGTGTGAATTATGTAACTTAATAGCTATGATTTTCTTACAAAAAGAAAAATTTGATGCTTCATTAGAGTTTTTAAAGAAGGCAGACCTATTAGCATAATCTAGTACTAGATATAAGTATTGATGTCTTAATATTTATTCTTTTTTATTAGAGCTATAACCTACAACAATTTAGCTTGTTTCTACAGAAGAAATGGGAAACTCAGAAGTGCTCTATAATATTTGTAATAAGCATTGGAAATAGAAATTAGGCAGGAAACCGCACCATCTTTGGCTGATACCCATTTAAATATGTGTGCTGTGCTATCATAATTAAATAGAGTAAGGAATGTTATATAATAGCACGCTGAAGCATTGGAACATGCTTTGATATCTGTAGTATTATTATAAGATGAATTTTTAATGAAACCTTCAGATTAAAAAATGGAACAAAGTTAAAATTAGGATTAAAAATCAGGAGAACAAAAGATGAAGGATAGAGTTGCAGTTTTGGCAATAGCTTATCATAATTTAGGTGTTGAATTTGAATATTTGAAGAGATTCGATGAGGCAATTTAAACATATTAAAAAGCAGTCAGATTTGGTGAGCTACACCTCCCATCAGATCATTAATTAGTAAAACTACATTAGACAATTTTAGATTGGAAACTTAAAGAATGTCTTAGGAAATGCTCAAGAATAAATTAACTAATAAAGAGCAAAAGATAGCAATAAAAGATAATAGAAGGAGTTATAAAGTAGAAATCAAAATAAAAGAAAATTGGTAGAAGTTGAAGCCACATACAAATAGAATAGTAAAAAGAAGACTGAAAAAGGTGGTTAGCAATAATAATAACAATAAGTAATGGGTTAGACTATGCGTTCAAATCCATAGAATAATAGTGTCAATATAAGAGAAGATGATTAAGAATAATAAGGTGGTGGACAATAAGAATCGAGTTATAACGATCATGATGAATTGCAATAAGAAGCTTAAATATAATTATAATAGCAATAATAATATTGAAAATATATTCATATAAATATATATAAAATTATTTATTGTTATTTTTAGATGAAGTAAAAGTAATAATCAGAATAATACAAAATTAAACTTCGGACTGAAATAGATGATATCAAATTCTTGATCCAATAAACCAACAAATTTTGATTACAAATCCCTCATCGTCTAAAAAATCGAAATTAATTTTGTTTAATTAGAATAGTAACTAAAGTCTGAAAGAAAATAGTTCTTTAATGGCTCTAGAAAGTAGGGCTTATAAATAAATAATTAGAAAAAATATAATAAATTGTTATTCGTTAAGAGCAATAACAAAATCATAACAAAACATTTGGCTATTGCCAGAAGCATAATAAATGCTTTAAAATTAGACAATAGAAAAATAAGATTGAAACCAATTTTAGAAATATTGATGTTAGTATCGACATATTTAAGATTAAATAAGCTTTACAAGAAGTTATGATTGAATACTTAGACTGGATTTAGCTTTTGTTTTCTTTTCTTAATATAAAATAAGTTTAATCTAAATAATTAATTCATATCCATATTGCTATCAATCAAAATAATTTGAATCAAACATAATTTTCATATTATTGGCATCTTAATGTTAGTTTCTTTTAGCGCAATTGACTAATAAATTCTATGAAACATGAACAATATTAGAAAATGTCTTATTAATTCAATTAATAAAAACATTTTAAATTTGGAGGGCTGCAAAAAAATAAATGGAACCTTCTCATAGCACTAGAAAATAGTTGAAACTGTAATTATTTGAAAATCTATTGTTTGTCCATTAGTTTTACTCAATACCAAATTATTTACAATATCTCATATTTTCACTTGGTACCTACTAATACATTACCTATTTGTAATTGCCCTAATATAAAGACGAATAAAACCTGTTGTATTAATAATTTAATTACTAATATTTTATTACCTATCTCTCAAGATTTGACATTGCACTCTGCGCTTAATTTCAAATAGAAGAGTAGCAATATTTACTAAGCTTATGTATATTTTTAATTTTCATAATTTTCCCATTTTTAGTGGCTACTTTTATAAAAAAGAAACAAATATTTTATTAGAGCTCGTTATTTCATACATTAATAAACATTTCATCTGTAATTACATAAATATTTTAATAATATTTATTTATACCTTTAACATTACTTGCTGTGAATAGTATGACTCACTATACTATTAATAATGAATTATCAGAGTAAATTCTTCAAATTTTCTTTGTTATTTTAACATTGATATTTATTATCTGTTTTCAGATAATTTTACAAATAGTTTGCCTTAAAAGTTTTGACTTAAAATTGACATCATTTACTCAAATTTATGTGTCATTTTTAGATTATGTTCTATAATTACTCTATATAATTTAATTTATAAGTTACTCCATAATAAGTAATCTCAAAAATGCTTTGATAATTTAATCTATTTTAGTAATATTAATTTCGGCTATCAAAATATTGAGAGTTTTTGAATTACACACTTGCAAGTCAGTTGAGTAATAAATTATCCTAGTATTTTCTTGTTTTGGATTGCAATTAGGATTTAATACATTAATACTTTACCTTTTAGACGATTATGAAATTTTTGTTAACGTTCTTACACTAATTTTATTTTTATTGCTTTATTAGGTTATAAATCAAGAATTCAAATCCTTTGAAATGAATCAACTTTTAAAATTTGTCAAATCAAATAAAATATCATTTTTAAAATATTTGTTTGGAAAAATGATAAATCTGTAGCTTAATAAGACATAATAGTATATAATAAACTCCTTAATTTATTAACATTATGGATTTATGAATTATAATGAAGGAAATACATACGAGCATCTATTTGTAACACTAGATCCAGATGTGGAGTTGAAATTTAATAGTAAGTAATTGTCAATTTTAAGTAAATTAATTTAGGAAGATAAGAATTTTGACATTCAATATGTGGCTATCCTATTTTAATTGAAATTCTATAATTTAGCTTATAAATAAATTATGATTGCAAATAGTCAAAATCAAGGGAAAAAGTTAAACTAGAGCTCCGACATCTATTTAAAGGAGAGCGAAATATCAAGGATGCAAACTTTTAACAACAAGGCAAAAGAGTCTATTAGATCTATGAGTAAATCTGGTAAATCAAATTCAGAAGATTTAAATAATATTATTTAAAAGAAAATATTAAAAAAGAATAGGCTTTTAATATCAATAAAAGAGAAAATTCCAATGATAACTTAAGCCTAAATGAATTACTTAAAATTGATGATTCGTTCAGATATTAAATTACATTTACTAATGGTTAATAACAAAAAATATAAATTTACTGAAATTTAACTAGGAGTTGAAATGTTTTTGAAAAATGAGAAAAGAAATAACAATTTAAGATATTCGATACTGCAATTATTGTAAGAAAAGGTTCAATTTTACACTTAATTCGTTAATAAGAAGATCTTAAATCATCAAAAGTTGTTTGAATCAGCTAAGAAAATAAGTGGCTAAATGTATAAAATTGAATAAAAGCTGAATCGAAGATATGATTAATATCCTAGTCATAAAATATAATCTACATTAATTTATTTTTAAGCAGAATTATAAAACAATTTTATAGAAGCCTATCGAATAAAGAACTTAACATCAATATCTGAATAACAGTTAATTGATATTGAATAAAATCTTTAAATTTCCTTGTTCTCCAAAGAAGTAGTCTATATTAATGCAGCTTAATTGGAAGATTAAGGAGAATTATTAATCCTAAACTGTTCTGAAAATACATAAAAGTTTTTTGAATTTAGTAATGAACAATAAAAACAGTTTACAACTCTAAGTTATATCTTACCAGATTTTATATTAAATGAACACAATATTTTAGTAAATAACTTTATATAAACAGGATAAGCAAAATTTTATTTATCTTATTCTCAATCCTTTTATAAATCTACAAATAACTTTATTAAATGTTGTGATTTACTATTTGATATTCATTTCGACGAATACTATTTATTTAGATACTCCATTTTTTTGTAGAATACTGCCAATACCTAATCTTACATTTTTGTTGATGTCAATGAACAATTAGGTGGATTCACAGAGACAGTGTTCGAAAAATTGAAATATTCCAATACTTTCATAGATGAGTTAAGCGATTTTAATTTTAAAATATTGAGCATAGATTTCATATTTCCTGAATTCCCTATGATTGTTAAACATAAGAAGAATAACATCTCAACTGAATTAAGATTTTTAAAGTAGGATATATTCAGTTAATATTTACAGTAATCTGATCATAAGATTTCTCTCTAGGGACTATGGAATGATAGTAAAAATCTAAATTTATACATGGTTGATCTTCGCATACAATTTCATAATATTTGGGATTTTAATTATTATATTATTGAGTTGGGAGATTGTAGACCCTAAAATTCATTCAATATGATATCATTACCAGTCACTAAATCATAAAATGACATTGAGAATATGTTTTAATTGAGCTAACTTACAGAATCTGAAGCACCAGCTCTTAATGCTAAAGAATTTTAGAAAAAACTAAATAAATTCAACATAATAGAATAAATATAATAAGAGGAAATTCTTTTAGCATCTAAAATGCCTGCTGTTTATATTTCACATATTCCTTAATCAGATTTTGAACCGAACATACTGAGTCCTAATTCAAGTTAACTAGGGTTAAATGAGATATCCTACTCAAAATAGCCATAATTATAATAGCAAGATTACTTTAATTAAAGTGTTCGTGATAATTCTTACAGTATGCAAAAATCTATTTAATAAATATAACATCAAAACATTCTTCCAATTGATTAAAAAGAAGATTTTTATGAGCAATAGTATAAGAAAAATACATCCCTGACATCCAAATAAACTGGAATTTAAAGATCACTATTTTATAAAAAATATGAACTAGTTCATGATTCATTGTTTTCACAAATACCAGCTTCGATGAATAAATTATTATTACTTATTCTGGTTAGTTTATTGATCTGCCTTATTTTTTATATTATTGTACTTGCATTGGTTTCATAAGATTTAACTAGATTTATAGCTGAAATTGATATGATACAATTGCATTCGGGTGTCATGGTACCTCATGATTTTTATTTTCAAATGAGATTCACAATCTTTACTTATACAGGATTCTTAAATAAAAAAGTAATCACCAAAGACAGATTCAATAATCTAACTGATCTTTTTTACGATAATATGCATATCGGCTATAATGAATTTAAGAATGGATTTACTGAACAATTAAACAATCAATATCTTTAACCTTTTTATAATGACAAGAATGTAACTGTGTATTACATGTACGAATTTGGTTTGAATACATACCCAGTGACTTACAACGTCAGAGAAGTGTTCTTTACTTTTCTAACCTATTACTATGAATTTCTTTTGAGATTTTAAGCGAGGTTAACTCCAGCAAATTAGACATATTAAGTATTTCAATTTGCAAATGCTTTCTCGCTGCACAATCTTCTTGAGAGTTTAGCTTAAGATGCGTGGGCTTATTCCAAATAAAGAAGTATAGTCATAAAGGATAAATGGAACTAAATTTGGATGATTTTTTTAATCTTTAGTTTTTTGCCTGTTGTTCTTGCCATATATTATATGAAACTTTATAGACAGCTCTAAGATAAATATTTGAACTTATTCAGATACTTCTCAAATATAAAGGTGTAAAGGGAAATAGAGAAAACTAAAACTTTAATTAAGTAATTAAAGTAAAATCCGGATCGTCTTTATCATTATAAGTTTGAGGTAGAATAGTTTGAAGAATAAATTGTTTATGAAAAAGGGATAATTGAAAAGGAATAACAAAAGTATAAAGAATCAAAATATTTACCCTAATTTAAACAATTGTCTATTACCTTCTCAGTTATCATTCTTCTAGGAGTTTGGATGTTGTTTTTTTTATTCAGTTTTTTTAGTAATTAACAAGTCTAATAGTATCTGGATAAATACCCGAACTCATGCGATCTGTATAAATTTCTTTAAAATATGTCATTATCAACTGGATCACTGCCGAGAAATAGGGAATTTAAATTAACTTTTCCATCTTTGCCATACATAAGAGAGGAGGATAGCGCTTTGTTTTATGAAACAATAAGAGATAGTTTAAATGATATTGCAAGCTTTCTCAAATTGTGTTTAAATTTTAATCCGGATTTATACTATTCATCAGAAGGATTTTCAGACTATTTTTATAATGTGCAAGAACAAAACATATGCGATGTTTTGGGAGATGAGTAAGTTGGGTTTCTGAGTTATTATTGTAATACATCTTTTAATGGAAATTTAAAATTAGGATTGTTGCCTACAATCAAATATATTTATAATGAGATTTAACAAGAACAGTCAATTAATAATTTTACATCCAGAGTTGAATATTCATATTTAGAAATGGAGGGAGGATTGATAATAACAAGAGCATTTTAATATATGAGTAAGATATTCAAGAACGGGATGGTGACAATAACTTAGGAATAAATAAACATTTCGAATGTATAATATATTAATTAAATATAGGCTCTATCCATATGTTATATTATCTTGAATATTTTGCTAATAATATATTTTTCTGGAATATTGCCTTTAATAATGATAAAGGAACTGAATTAAGTGAGAAGATTTGTACTTATCGTTCCAAGAACTGTTTTGTTATTAGACGATTAATTTGAACGTCACGCTAGAATGATCGGAGTGAATGAGAGATACTGATATTTTAAAAGATTTCATTCTGGAATTTATTATATAATTTATTTAATTTTAATTTCTTACGATGGGCTCTTTTAAAAACACAATGATAGTTTTCTTTTTGCTTATGACCTGTGGATTGGGATAACAGATTAGAGCTATAACAGCTTATTAGAACTGTGATCAGAAATGGCATAGTGAATAAATCAACGGCGATTCCCAAAAGACTATTTGCTAAAATGGTAGCTTAGTAAGTTGCATTGCAATGATATTATAAACAAGTGGCAAGATAATAAACAATAGAGCTGTAAACCCAGCAATATTGAATAAATACTTGACCAATAACAATGGGTATAAATAAGGAAGTGAAATTAATTTTTCAGTTTTGGACAAGGTTGGCTTACACATTGTGAAAACAGTATCTGATTTAAGGACAGCCATAGGTAATATAAGAGTTAAACGTAGAATATTATAACAATAAATACTACATTGTATTGAACATAAATTACGGAAAGAACTACGGTGTCTTGATTGGATATAATGAAAAGGATGCCATATACATAATTAATAATCCAATCAACCCATCAGATAATAAAGTTGCAGCCAAAGACATTACTGTGGCGTTGATCTTTAAACCCCTTTGAAATATAAGATAAATAGGAACATATATATATTATTATAATATTTGAACATAATACCATTTAATACTCAATAATCGTCAGGTGCAATAACATCATCTATTTTTAATATCATTTTGACAACTTGGGTGGCTAGTTAAATTTGCTATTTCTTTGAGCTCAAAGTTTCGTAAATTCTTTATTCTTTCATATCAGTGGTACCCTTAAACATAATAGATAGTAATTACTAATTCCATGCAATCAATTCCAATTCTGGGGTTGTTTTCTTGTAATTATCTTGACTTGGCTTAGGCAACGGATGTAATTGGGTTGAGACCACAATTATCTGCTAAGCAATTGGGAATACCCTCTAAGGCATCAGCAAATGATCTGATAGCATATTATTCAACTGATGAAACCTACAAATTATATATTAATATACTTCATCAGCATATTGGAGTACTTGGATAGCACAAGCTAATTCAGCAGAACCTCCTCCGTAGACAATTCTATTATCTTTGATCAAATTTCTGATGACACAGATGGCATCATGGATAGACCTTTTGGCTTCATCAACAATCATTTGACTTCCTCCTCTAATAAGAATGGTGACAGCCTTGGTGCATTGGCAATTCTCAATGACTAACATTCTTTCATTGGAAGTTCCAAATTGCACTTCTTTGACAGAACCAGCTTTTCCTAATTTTTCAGGGGTGATTTCTTAAAATCTGGGAATGATTCTAGCTCCAGTGGCCATAGCGATTAGTTCAACATCAGTTCCAGAAACCCATCTTACAGCAGGGAGTTCATTTTATAACAATAAGTGATTGGCTTCATCATCAAAACCCCATTAACATAATGCTATGTTGGCACCACTATCTTTGACTAATTTGACCATGTCAACAAAGTATTGTTATTCCTATAGATATAATTTCTTGTAATCTTCTGCACTAGAAATGTTAATGTTGTGCTTGGTCTTTGGTTTGGGTGGTTCGAATGGACATGTTAATAAACAGATTTTGGCTTCTTTGACTTCCTTTGGCATTTGTGGATGACTCATGTCTTTATCAATTAGAATTCCTGAAATCAATCGGGTGTCTTCCACACTTCCTCCAGTTTTGGTTTAAATTTTGATCAAATCCAAATTCACATCTCTTCTGGCTAAGTCAGCCACATCCAAGACTGCAGTGACTGCAATCTTTCCAAGTTCTCTCTTTCTTTTAGATACAACTTTTGATCCAAGGGCTGTACATGCTGCTTAGATCAAAGCCTCATGTTCATTAGCTTGAATATCTATTTCTTCAGATATGGTTTCCAAATGTTCTAAGATTATTAGGATGTGAATATTTACTTATGGCAACATCACATGCTCTATCGAATCCATCACTAATTTTCAATGGATGAATTCCTTTATCTAACAAAGTAAGAGCCTACTCCAACAATTTTCCTGCCAACACTACTACGCCTGTTGTGCCATCACCAATCTCAGCATCTTGTGATTATGACAATTCAACTAATAATTTCGCGGTTGGATGCTATATTTCCTATGATTTATTTAAAACAATCCCTTACCATCTTCTCCACTATTGTAGCACCATCGTTTGTTACTGAAACATCGCCGTCTGGAGAGACCAACATCTTATCCATTCCCTTTGGCCCAAGAGATGATGATAGTGTATTTGCAACAGCCTTGGCAGCCAATATATTGCTTTTATATGCCTCCAATCCCTTCATTCTTTTCTTCTATCCTTGATCCCTCAAAATAATGTATGGTCTGCCATAGTCATCAAATGCTAAACTCATATTTTAAATAAATATTTTTAAAATTTAATCATCGTCTCACATTTACTGTAACTTTGTATATATATATCAAATTCCAAAAAGCTCTCTATTTTAATTTATTAATTATTAATATGCGTAATCGATTCCAAGCCTGCTCCTTCAAGAACTTCACTAACTCACTCTCCTCCAATATTCCACTCAATTTAAATAAAACAAGGTCATGCGAATCTAATTTATTTGGATATGCTAACAAAAAAATGCTATATGTAACTACTATCTTACCCACTTTTTAACCTTACTAAAACATCATTACCAAACTCAAAGACCATAACATCAAAATGCAACAAAGAAAGCAAATTAAAATGAGAAATAAAAGACATTAAATTTAAAAAAAGACCCTCATTGAAATTATTAAAAAATAAGAGCAAAAACCTAAAAAAAGAACTAACAAACATCATAACACTGTATTTTACAATCACTAGGCTAGTTCAACAGCCCAATCCAACCTTTGTTCTGATGATACTAATTAAAATCCCTCCAAAGAAAATTCGAAGCATTCCATCTAATTACACATGTACAATTCGCTTTCACCTCCAAAACTTTACATAGACAAGAGGACTACAAAGTTATAGACCTTTTCATAAAGATTGAAAACGTTTTACTTACCTATTACAGCACCCTTTGATTCTCAAACCATTCTGAAGTTGGAGAGGATACAGGATGGGAGAGCTAAGGTCATCAAATAACAAGGCTCTCGTGATGATTATTAAGTTAACATAAGATTATATAAATTTGAAGATGATGAAATGTATGGCGATGACCATGGCAAAAATCAAGAAACCGAACTTCCTACTCTGCATCAAGAGGATGACGAGGAGGACGAGTAAACTGACCACGATAATCTAGGCCATTTAAAACAGCTATCGCATAATCATCAAAAACAAGCCTATAAAAATATTTTAAAATTTAATAGACGCAGTCTTCAAAGCCTCATTGACAAATAATAATTAGGGAAAAGTAGAATAAAAGAAATTTTGACAACTGGTAATGTAATATAATTTACGTTTCTCTAGAGTACAGTTAGAGAGCAATCACTGCTAATTTGTCCCCTTAGAGTAATTGTATTCTTGGGTATTATCCAATACCTTCAATGAAACTCTTGGATGCAAAATGGAAAAGACCTCTTCAGAAGCTGCTCCCTCTAAATATCAAGCCAGTTAGTCAACTAACATTCTCCAACATGATACCTCTTCTACCAGTTTCCATCATTACTCAATCTACATAGTCGACAAAAAACAGTAATGAAAAGAAGAAGCTCGCGAGAAAGATCATTAATGCAGGAGAGAAGAAGCACAAAAAGAACATTACGTTTGGATAATTGTTGATTAAAGTTTGAAAACTAATCTGATCTCATCCTTGAATAATGAGTGATATATTGATATAAATTAACTAAATTAACAAATTTGTGACATTTTATTGTGGAAGTGCTTATTAATAATAAAAATTGACAATTAATAATAATAACATTATTAATTAATAATAAGAGATGAAGAATCTTTATATAAATATAGAAATTTTAATTGATAACCTTAAATAATATTAATGCAAAATAATCCATATCCTACATCCGAGCTCAAAATCGAAGGACAAACATTCAAATATTACAATTTGGTCGAATTATTTGGTGAGAAAGTAACACGATTGCCATACTCAATAAGAATATTATTAGAGTAAGCAGTCAGGAATTGTGATGGATTCAATGTTAAAAAGGAAGATGTCGAAAGAATATTGAATTGGGAAGATACCTCCAAAAAAGACACAGAAGTGGCCTTCAAACCTGCAAGAGTAATATTATAAGATTTTACAGGTTATTGAATATCATATATTTCTTAGGTGTTCCTTTGGTAGTTGACTTGGCAGCTATGAGGTCATAAGCTCAAGCTATGGGCAAGGATCCTCAATTGATTAATCCTTTGTGCCCTGTAGATTTAGTGATTGACCATTCTGTGCAAGTGGATTTTCATGGAAATAAAGATGCTAGAGAATAGAATGAATAGACAGAATTTGAGAGAAATTTAGAGAGATTTAGATTTTTGAAATGGGGAAGTTCAGCCTTTAAGAATTTCGAAATAGTCCCACCAGGAAGTGGAATTGTACATTAAGTGAATTTGGAATATTTGGCAAGAGTGGTATTTGAAAAGGATAGTCTCTTATATCCAGACTCAGTAGTAGGAACCGACTCTCATACAACGATGATTAATGGTTTGGGAGTCTTAGGTTGGGGAGTAGGAGGAATAGAAGCCGAAGCCAACATGTTAGGTGAATGCACTAGCATGGTACTTCCATAAGTAGTAGGATTTAAACTGACAGGATAATTGAGTGCACACATTTCAGCAACAGATTTGGTCTTGACTTGCACTGAGATGTTGAGAAAGAAGAAAGGTATATCAAATATATTAACAAAAAGTCGTGGGAAAATTCGTTGAGTTTTATGGTCCAGGAGTATCCACTTTATCTTTGGCTGATAGAGCTACTGTCTCAAATATGGCCCCAGAGTATGGAGCCACTATGGGTTTCTTCCCAGTTGATAACAAAACTATCGATTACTTGAAACAAACAGGAAGA